ACATTTATTTGGATTCCCCAACCATCTGTTTTCGGTGCATTTTTCAGTTTGTTGATAGTATTGCGAAATATATTTTTAAAAAAATATTTTTTTTGTTCTCAATAAACAAGCAAATGACGTCATAACACGAATAGCTTATTTTAGCCAATCCTCTAAATTTCTTTGATTCAATAAACGCGCGTGACAAAACTGATAATGTATTTTTTCCTTCAAGTAAAATTAATAAAATTGCTTTTTGAATTGTTCATAAAACACAATATTTTAGCTTTGTATTTTTATCATTTGATAAGTTTTACTTTTTTTTTTCATTCCAAAAATATACTTTTATTAAATTTATAAAGTAATAAAAACTTACCATTTTAATATACTTTATCATAAGGAAATGCCGTTAGTGAAGCAATACCACTTGAAGTGCAAAAAAAAAAATGTTTTTGAATACTCAGGGGGCTACAAATCTCTGGATGATTCTATTAATTTTTTTTATCAAAATCGGGTTTTTTTTTTTTTTTGGGGGGGGGGGGGTGTTCGATAGTTTCTTTTTTCCCCAGGAAGAACAAGATACCCCTCAAAATAAAGGAATGAATTTGATAAAAAATAATAATGTTTTTGAATACTCAGGGGGCTACAAATCTCTGGATGATTCTATTAATTTTTTTTATCAAAATCGGGTTTTTTTTTTTTTTTTGGGAGGGGGGGGGTGTTCGATAGTTTCATTTTGCCCCAGGAAGAACAAGATACACCTCAAAATAAAGGAATGAATTTGATAAATAATAACCCTCTTAGGTACCTCTTAGATACACACATATCGGGGTTAGGAAATAAGGTGTGTGCATTTTTTACGTGGATGACACTATCTTTAAATCCAATGATAGTACAGTTGTGAAAAAGAAATGTTACATTCTCTTTTTTTAAAAATATATTTTTACCAATTTAGAAAGTCAATGGCGTTAAAAAAAAACTTGGGTACATTTACATCAGCGTACAAATGAAAACCTAATCATTTTATACACGTGAAAATTTAATTTTTGAAAAATAGAGAGCGGTTCAGATTTTCTTTCAAAAATGAAAATATATTTTTGTTTTTACTTTGTGAAAGTAAAGTGAGTATATATTGTTGTGAAATTAATAAAAAATTCTGGAAAAAAGAAATTCAGGGCTGTTACAGACGCGAAAAACGGTTTAGACAGTCTTCTTTACATAGAATAATACTTTTTTTAACGTTTGACCGATAATGTAATAGAAAAAGGCAAAAGTTTGGTTTAATTTTTCATAAAGATATCAGAATATCACATTCCTTTACGATAAAATTTATTTAAAATGGTATAGAGTTTTTGTTTTAAATTTAAGATTAAATTTGTTCTGGAAATCCCATTTCCTTTAACTTTTAGCAACATTTAAAAAAAGAAAAAAAGGTAGCAGTCGCCAACATTAAAACGACTCTTTGCAACGGGATTGCTCAAAGACAAGCAAAACTTTTTGACCTCAAAGCATAAAATAATTTATTTCCAGTTTCTAGTTTAAAAAAACGCAAAATTACTTTAAATATCGTTAATTATATCAGCATAACTGTAATATAATCTATTCTTAGTTAAATTGAAGGCTAACAAAAGAAAAGACAACGTGCTTACTTTTAAAGGCGCTCTCATAAATAAATTAGATTTTTGGCGATTTAATCCGATCTAGTTTTCAGATTCTCCGGTGTTGCTAAAAGTTAAAAGAGATGGGATTCCCAGAAAAAATATAAGCATACGAACAACTTAAGCCCATATTAATACATTCAAATTTATTAATTTCATTCTCAAGCTCTTTAGGGGGAAAAAAAGATATAAAAGTATTTTCGGAAGAACCATTTTTTTTGTTGAAAAACTGAAATTTTTTATTATAAATAAACATAAAAATGTAACGCCATTGATTGAATTTAATTTTTTTTTTAAATTAAAAAAAAATACAATTCTTTCCATATTTTGATGGATTGACATCACGGCCGCTCACTCAACAAATGGGCTATAAAGGAAAGCCGTTAGATGCTTTTCTTTTCCTTGGAATTCGCAATCCTTGGGATTTTTTAAAAAAAAATGTGAAAATTTTATATGAAGCACTAGCATTTTCTAAAAATTCCCCTTCAATTAAAAATAAATTTAACCTGGTGACCGGAATGTTTAATGGTAATATTGTGCCAATTGTGTTTGTGCTGACAATGGGAAGACATGTAAATGAATGAAAATAGCCCTAAGAAAAAAAAAACAAGAACTGTCAAACTGTTATTACCGGTAAAGGATTTCTTCTAAAAAGTGTTTCCAAAGTAAAAAAAAAAAATGGTTTTGTAGATAAAAAAAGTGCCTTATAATAGTAATGTTCGCTGTAGCAATAATATTTACTGAGATGTCAAAATGATTCATTCCAATTGTAAAAAAAAAATGGGTGGGTAGTTTCAGTAACTCTACGACATTACTGTCATAGAAAATAATCAATACATTTCAAAAATAACTAATAGGCCTAAATGTGAAACTTATTTAGAGATTTATTTTATTTTTTGTTTCAAGAAGTCTTTAAAGATCGGCTATTACTAACTAGCACACGTTAGCAAAATGCTTCCTCCAGATTAATTTTAAAAAAAACACCAAAAAAATGTATAAGTACAATCTTATATGTTATATTTAAAGTTGAGCCAATGAATTTAAAGAGTTTTTATTTATTTTTAAACTTTAAACTGCACATTTGAAACTGATAAGAAATTATGTATTCACGAGTGATCTGAGTTATGTTTGAATTGATCTTGTACTAAATAAAGTTGAGCAATAGGATATATTCAATCTTACTACTACTTATTCTGATATTGAACCATTGTTTCGACTCCTGGGTGGAAGCTTAGATGTAAGATTGATTAGCTGTAAAAAGGCTTACCATAATTTTAAGGATTAAAACCGTGACCTAATGTTGAAACCTGGGCCCATTCGAGTGCCTAGGGCAGGATGCAAGAAATGTCATTCTTGACTCATAGATTGTGTCTTTTTTCTTTTCCTCATTCACTCCAAGGGTGCACAGGTCATTCCTAATTATCTCATGTTACTTCGGTTCTTGGCTACTCTGCTAATTGATTGACTTTCTCTCCCCCTCCCCCCACATACAAAAATCAATGCTTCATTTTAAAATTAGAAAAAAGAAAGTGTTTTTATTTACAAATTTAATTACAAAGAAAATACGGTGTTTAAAAAAATATGTATCTTGTAGAGTCTCTAAACTTATGACGCCATAGAGATATGCCAGCGAGTATAAAGTTTCTTAATTTACGATGCCTTAGATATGTGTATGTGAGTCTAATGTTTCCTAACTTAAGACGCAATATAAATAAGTATATGCGTTTAAAGTTTCTAAACTTATGACGCCCCAGAGATGTGCCGATGATGCGGCTTTGAGCGTAGAATTGGTTGAGGGCCTGCTGGCGGTTCTAAGAATTTTGCTTGTTGTAGTGTGCTATTGTGTGTTTTGTTTTCGTATTTTTAAAAAATGGTGGATTGGGGGGGGGGGTGGTCCTTTACTAATTACAAAGGGCAAAAATAAAATTGGTAGATCCCGCGTACAGATTTCTAAGTAGTTTTAGTTTCTTTAAAAAAAAAAAAGTCATTTTGGTTTTTGTATTTTTAAAAAATGGGGGATTGGGGGGGGGGGGGTGGTCCTTTACTAATTACAAAGGGCAAAAATAAAATTGGTAGATCCCGCGTACAGATTTCTAAGTAGTTTTAGTTTCTTTAAAAAAAAAAAAGTCATTTTGGGGAAGTTACGTAGAATTCAGAGATTGCCCGATCGAAAGTTGAAAGCAGAGCGGAGACATGTTAATACTTCCAAGGTGCCAATAGTTAAAGTCCACATTTTGTGCAAAGTTAATTAGAAATTATTTTCTTTTTCGAGATCCCCCCCCCACCCTCTTACCTTTTTATTTTTTAATTTTTGCTCCATTCAAATATTGAAACGTCATCAATGCATTTAAATTATTTTTCTTTTCTTTTTTTTTTTCGTTTGACATTCTATTTCTTTAATTTGAATTGTCATTGATGGCCGATTTGGAGCATTTTGGGACAATACGAATTTTTGGATTCTTTCAAATTATAATCCGCAGGTCCAGATTGAATAAGAATTTTTTGAATATGCTTTATTCCGTAGGTATTTTATTAAATAATACTTTTCCACACGATGCCAACTTCCAATTCACACTAATTCCACTTCTTTGAATTAAATGTTGTTACAAAAGCGAAATGGTTTATATATATATATATGTATTTAAAAAAAAAAAATGAAATAAAAATAAAGCCTTTAAGCCTTTATAATCGGTTGGTTTAAAGCGAATGATGATAAAATGGCGGATTGATCAACACGGGCCGTGCTAAGGAAAACTCACCATAAGCCAAAGTGTTACCTGAAGCAAAACCTTGAAATGACGCTTTCTAGTTTAATAAAAAAATTACACATGAAACGCATACCGATATATTGTATGAATGTTTATTTCTAGTTTATATATATATATATATATATACTAGCCAATATACCCGGCGTTGCACGGGATTGGATTAGGACCCCGAACCTGGTAAGACCCCAACCCCATTCTCACCACGATCCCGGCCAAATGCCTTTTCCCGGTGTGATCCCGTTCCCGGTGTGATCCCGTTTTCTTGTTGCGCAGGATCCAGGGGAAGTCCATATCTCGGTCGGATTCCGATCCGGTCCGTGTCTTGAACCCAGTGGGGTCCCGATGGGCTACTGATCCCGTTACGATACCACTCTCTGTGGGATCCCGTTGCCCATTAGGATCCTGTTCCTCTATGCGATCGTGCTCAGTGCGATTATGTTCGAATAAGTTTTTAGATCTTATTATATATCCCCGTAGAACAATATAGAACATTCCACCACGTGACTAAGCTATGCTGGTTCTATTTATAAATCGCTTATGTTCATGAGAAATGTGACCATTATTGACGCGGTAACCATTTGGGAATTTCCCTTATGATCCTAACCGCCACATGACAACAAGAAGTTTGAGTTTCAGGTCTGTAAAGTTATCGATTTTAAACAAAATCTAATTTTTGTGTGTCTGTGTGTGTGTGTGATGGCCTAAATACTTAGTGGTATATCTTAAAAAAACATTATTTATTGAAGTAACCATTTTGGATGAAATCATAAAACTAAAACAATGATTTTAAACACATTACACCAAAATCATGATAGTCGTTATTAAACGAGAATAAAAATAGTTACGACGTAAGGCAGATGTCATAAAATTACGTGATCACTCAACATAGCTAGCTGTTTAAAACATAAAAGTGACCTCTTAGCGTTTCATTTGTATATAGATAGTATCACCAATTAGTTAAGCGGTGTGAATGTATATGATATTATTTGCTGCTGAAGATGACATGGTGTCCGCCCCCAATTGACTTTCAGAACTTAAAATACCAAAATTTGTAATGAGATTAATCAAATGATAATAAAGCTGGTGAACTTTGAACAGTGACGTGCCCTTTTAAACAATCACCCCTTAACGGTGGATTTAAAACAGCGCAATTTAAAACAACAACTAAGAATTTCCTTTGAAGTGTGCCGTGTGGGGTCCAATATCTCCTTACTATTTTTAAGTTAAAATAAAACATAGTACTTTACTTTATTGTGTTCAACACTTATGCACATAAACGCCATTGAGGAGATATAATTTCCTCTCTTGCGCATTCCTTACATTCATTTATATACAATTTTTGAGACACATTTCAGAAAGAGGAGCTGAAGAACTCTCCGGCCCCGTTGCAAGTTTGTAGAACACTCATCTCATTCTTTTAAGAATATTTTATTTCTTATTGTGCTTGAAAACCATTGTCAAAATTTTCTTTTTCTTCAGGATTCTTCCGAGCAGCTCACCTCTTCCTTGACACGTTATAGTCGTGGGAGGAACGAACCCTAACGTCAGGCATGAATTGATTGGTTTGTCCCACAACAGGCACATGGGGCTGAATTATTTCGATAACAAAATAAAAATTTTAAATGTGATTTTACAATAAACTATCAGAAAAAGGAGATGCGTTATTGGAGTTTTACCAATTTTTTTCAAAGAATTAAAAACAGCCACAGAAAAATCCCCAGTCAAAGTCTTCGGCTCAAAGGTCAGAGATGGTACAACCAAAGAGACTACACGAGTTTGGCAAAGACGCCTTTCGACAAAAAGCAACTGGTCAGGAGTGGGCACTTCAACCGCTTTTCCGGGAGTGCTTCAAATCAACGGAAGAAAACAAAGGGCTGTAACAAGTGAGTGTCTGATGCTGAACAAAACACCAACTATTGCTGTACCTAATGTATATGTTTACCAAAAAAAAAATTAACTTCAATGTTACTAAATCGATTCTTTATTTTTTTACGTCGATAGATATCAGACTTTTGTAGCATTAAGTAAGTTGTCACCAACACTGTGAACCGGCTAATAGTAGATGGGTCATTTAGGAAACGCGATAATAATTTTACGTAATAATGTGGCCCCAAGAAAAAAAGAGTACATTGCCTTTTCTAACCACGAATATTTAAATAAAAACACTAAATGGCTGTTTCATCCTGTAGAGTCACCTTATGCCACAATACCTGATACTACTCTTTGAATATTACCCTTTTGGGTAATAATTATAATTATATACTAAGCTTTCTTTATTTTTCTAGCTTGCGTGGTTGGATCAAGGAATACCCAGGAACATGAGATCTTATAAAACTTTTCTTGAGTGAAGCAAATGGCTGAGATACTTCATCTCGTAATTTAATTATTACCATCATTTTAATTTTGATTCAATTTTCTTCATTAAGGGTCCCTGGCAGAGCAACCGTTTGTCATGTTACGAAAAGTTTTACAGAATCTCAAGAAAAAAACGAAAATGATATCCGAATGAAATCTGAGAAGCCAATAAACAAACTGAATCGAACTGTCGCAAAATTAAACCCATTGACTTTTGTACGCAGGGAAATAAAAACTCAAGAAGACAAAAAAAATAATGATCTTTTAAGAACACAAAGACCAGATGTCGAACAGATGAAATCAAGACTAAGAGTTATGTCTGCTGAGACAGACGATTGCAGATTAGTGAATGAAATAAAAGCGTCAATCGAGGCAGTAAAAACAGAAATTAATAGCAGAGAGGTAGACGTTGAAAAGTCCAGGGACGCATTTGACAAAAGTAGCGAATTAACAAACAGTTCATCAAATCCTAGAAAGCCTGAAGATCTCATGGAAGAGTTGTGTAATCAAAGACATTTTAAAGTCAAACCGACCGTCATAAATGTCTACAACGCAGTGGGCAACACCGAGGTAGATCATCCCGAGAGTGTTGAAGGTATTCCTTGGAATTTGTTCAGAGAAGAAAAATTTCGCCTTCGTAGTTTTGTGCAGTATCCATTGACAGCTGCTAAATCTGCCATGCTCCTGGCTGAAGATGGGTTTGTTTACACTGGGAAGGGCGAGGAAAGAGATGACGCAGTCACTTGTTACTTTTGTTGTCTACAGAAACTCGGCTGGCAAACTAGGGACATCGTTTCTGACATTCACAGAGAAATGTCTCCGAATTGTTCAATGCTGACCAAAATCAACTGTGATAATGTTCCTATAAGGTCTTCTCAAAATTACGGCCAAAACTTTGATACTCTGTTGAACCAGTTAAACTCAACCTGTAGCAATGAATCGGGTCAACATACACTGAAGACCAATGCAGACACACATGGAAATGTTAGCCGAAGTTCTGGGGACATTGATGCGGATTGTGAGAATGACACCCGCCAACGTGATTCAATTTTCAACCAGCCCACACCAACAAGAGGAAACCCATCGGAAAATGGTGAGTTAAATTCAAAAGAAATCAGGAGGGGAACCGTCATCCCAAACACATCTACTTTTCAACATACAGTAACTACACAGGGATCAACAGCAACAACAGCAGCAACAACACCAGAAACAACAACAGAAACAACAACAGCAACATCTCGAAAAATGCAAACGAACTCTCCAAATTTAGCAGTCCAAACGACAAGATCTTCAGCTTCCGGGGCCCGAAATGTGGCGTCTGTACCCTCGTCTCCACAAATAACTCTGCCCCATGTATCAACAGAACCAAGGAATACTGGAGCCAATAATGTTTCGAATAGTTCAACAAATACCGGACAGCCATCATTGACACCTGCAGGACAACCAAGTGTAGAAGTCGCCGGCGCAACATCAGCCAGCTCCAACAGCACCACCGTTTCACAAACAACCGCAAACAATGGTGAGAAGAAGAATGGTAAAGGGCCGACATACGCTGAACTGGGAATCATCACTGAGAGACCGAAAAGACCAGAATATGCTGTCAAAGAAACGAGACTGAAGACATTTGAAAATTGGCCGCCAAGCCATCATTTGAAACCCGAAGACCTTGCTGATGCTGGATTCTATTTCGCGGGTGAGCGAAAAAATTGATTAAAAACATAAATTATTACAGAAGTTTCACTTTGTTATTTTTTTTTTCAAATTCAAGGAGGACTCCCCAATTAAGCATATCAGTTTTGATGAATGTCCTGTTTCATGTAAACATAGATGCGTGATTACGATATATACACTAAGTATTCTGTGCAGAATACAAAAAAGATGATTATGAAGAGGAGAAAAAACCCATAAATAGTACACATGCTATCTTATGTTATCTTTTGCCTGTAAATCAAGTTTTGCAACAACGAAAAATCGTAAATAAAATGCTATTTAATTGAACAAATTTTCAGCTTCATAAGCATAAAACAATTTATTTTGCTGCCGTTAAAACATTATATCAATGTGACTAATCAAACAAAACTATGGAAGGGAATCGTTGAACAAGGCGTGTAGAGGCTTGAATGGAAAGAAAAAGTTCAACAAAAAGAAATAGAAATGCATGAAAAACTCAAGTGTCAGTAGTTAGCTGTGTTGTATAAATATATTTTTCTACAACACAGCCAACTACTGTCACTTAAGTTTTTTCAAGCATTTCAATTTCTTTGTTGTCTTTTGTTTTGTCTTGTGCGATGAGAAGGCTTTTAGTCGAAACTTTCCATTCTTATGATCCCGTTCTTTCACTTCAAGCGTCAACACACCTTGTTTTTACGATGTGCTTCGCACAACTTGAACGCAGACATTCATTTATTACCCTATAAAGTATGGAAATTCGAGGATACAAAATAAATGAGAGAGAAAGTCTGTTGAAAATGTTGTTAATTGATGACATGTCTTCTTATTTACCAAGGTTACGGCGACTGCGCCAGATGTTTCTACTGTGGCGGTGGTCTGAGAAACTGGGAGGACGAAGATGACGTGTGGGTGGAGCACGCCAGATGGTTTCCTAAATGTGCCTACATCCGTCAGCAGATGGGACAAGTTTTCGTGGACACGGTTCAGGAACTGAACAAAACTTTAGATGTGGTGAGACCTAAAAAAATATTCTATATTTATCTTTAAAAATGTGTTTGTTAAGGTTTTATATATTTTTTTCCATACGCTTAATTTTGTTTCAAATATTTTAATTAATTATATCGTTATTTATTTTAAAAAAAAACAATGAAGACACTCATCAATGTGGTTGGGGGGGGGGGGGTCATTAAAATAGGCATTAAGGCATTTTCAATGTTGAGCATGAAAAGTTTAGACATCTTAAAATGTTTGACATCATAATCCTTTTTTCCCCCTCTCAGATTTCGTTTGCCACGGTCAAAGAGAGGTGCAAGGCTCCAGCAACAGCTTCGTCATTGGGTTTGTCAATTTATAATAATAATTAATTTAAAAAAAAGACATTTAGTTTCATATCCTCTTGATGGTTAAAAAAAAATGTTGTTTGAATTGAACGGCTTTGTGCAGTAAATGTACTCCACAATTTGAAATACATATTTGATAACACAGTTGATTACAAATGATTTTTTTTTAAATATAATAAGAAGGGTTGCAATATAAATATTTATTTTATTTATTAGCCGTGTCAATAGATTTGTTCAAGAATTTAAGTAAAACAAAAACCATTTCAGATGCTAAATTGGAACCACTGAAGAGAGACCCCGCTGTGTTGACAGTTGTAGATTTCGGCTATTCTCTCACTGATGTCTTGCAAGTTGCCAAAATAATCAAGGGAAAAGGTGAAATTGTATTATTTGCGATGATTCAGCTTAGGCTGCGACTATTTGTACCCGGGTACAAGAAGTGAGAGGTTGGGATTAAAGAACTAATTAGAATATTATTGTTGGGTTTGTAAGACAAAATGAGGTGTCAAATGAAAGATAATTGAATGGACGATATGTTTGTAAACTTACTTTTTCAACTAAAATAAACTAGAACAAATGGCATCCGAAGAGCTTGTGTCTAATGTCTAATGGTACCCGGGTGCGAATGGCGGCGCTGCGTGTCTGGGTCCATTTTGACTATTTGGATGTCATTTTTGGTAGTTTATTTGATTTCATTTTAATTCTTTGAATTAATGTGTTGACGATCATCATCATCATCTTTTGTCTACGGGCTTACATTTCAGATGTCATTCTATCCTCCGACGTGTTGTTGACTAAACTACAAGAGCTGGAGAAACCAAGAGTCTCCAAGACGCCATCTACACCCATGTTAGGGGCCACGTCGTCAACGCTCACTCAGGATCAAGGTACATTGATCCTCTTCTTCTTCTATATCTTCAAAGTATTGATCACTCTGGATCCTATGTATGTAAAAGAAGTTTGCGATGTTTCTGTGCATGGTTTTGAGAAAGATGCATCACTATTTGAAAAAAAATCTAAATATATTGTCATGGACATAATTAAATTAAATACAAAATCTTATAGATTATAACAAATTTCGCATCACGAGAAAATGTATGTTATTATTTTGGAAAGAGAAATTGCTGAAAAAATATTCCGCTTAGAGAACTTTATAAAATCCAAATAGCAGCAATATTATTGATATGTTAACTATCTGGGGCAGACTTTTGATCAGACTGCGATCAAACGGTTAAAGACGCCAATATGAAAAAAATAAGTTTAGTAGAAATCTGATTAAGGTAATCCATTGATATGTGTTTTATATTCCCAGAAAGGCTTTGTAGTCATTAGTGATCATAATAATTTTAAATTGTATTACTGTTAAGAGAAATAATTGGATCGGTTTTTCGTATGTAAACAACTTTATGCAAAAAGGCATTTGAATAACCATCAGGTAAAGTTATATTGTATTTAGAATCTTTAAACAACGAGATCTCCATCTTATAATGTCTGGTCTCCCAACAGAGGCCATCAGACAGATAAAAGAGAAGAACAACCAGCTCCGCCAGCAGACCGTCTGCAAGATTTGTATGGACAAGGAGGTGGCCGTCGTGTTCCTGCCCTGTGGTCATCTGGTGTCCTGTGCCGAGTGCGCATCTGCCATGAAGGACTGTCCTGTCTGTAGGGTCACCGTCAAAGGAATCGTGAGGGCGTTCATATAAGATGAAAATCGATGAAAAGGAATTTTAGAAAGAAAAAAAACCCAGTGTATTATGTTGATTATATTTTTAACAGGAGCCAGAAATGTCCGCTGTGTTTTTAAAGTCGTTGAGCACCAAACATAATTTTAAAGACTTAAGGAAATAACATAACTATATCTATATCATATATATATATATATATATATATATATATATATATATATATATATATATATATATATATTAAATAAAATAAATATATATATATCATATATATATATATATATATATATATATATATATATATATATATATATATATATATATTCCTAATTACTAGCTACGTCCCAGCTTTTTCTCCTTTTAGTTCTGCATTTGGTGATACTTTTCATTGATTAAATGATTTCTCTAATGATTAAAGCAGACGTTGTATGAAATACTATTTCTAAAAATAGTGCTTCTTTTAATCCTCATTCATGCCTTTCGACGGAGAACGTGTGAGCTATTCTATGTCTTGCTATGCCATTCTATGCTACTCTATGCGATTCTATGCCATTTTGACGTTATCCGACACCAGGAATATTGAAGCTTTCGGTTAACTTTAGAATTAAGTGTGTAGACTACGTTTAAAAAATAGATGTTTATATTATTTGAAAACAATGAATATTTCAATTTTAACAAAAATATAACTACCCCTAACCGGTAAATTTATATTTTCATATAACGACAATATAACCCAATACATAAACACTTAAGGGATTCACCTGTAATAGCTTTTCATTTTTTCACCAATCTATTTTTTTAAAGCACATCAATGTTACCACCCAGCTCTCTCTCCTCCGTTCAAGCGCATTTTAAATATCAATTGTAACGTTTCTAAGACATGCTGAGCTTCATTGACCAGGAGTCATAACCCGGAGTCATAACCCAGAGTCATAACCCGGAGTCATAACCCGGAGTCATAACCCGGAGTCATAACCCGGAGTCATAACCCGGAGTCATAACCCAGAGTCATAACCCGGAGTCATAACCCGGAATCCTAACCCGGAGTCATAACCGATAGCAAAAACTAATGATAGTTTCAAACAGCAAAATGAAATAATCAAGAAAAGATTAATATTGATTTATGTAAGCGCTACTTGGTATGATTACCATTTGCCAGAGGAAGTCATTTATAATCCGGAGAATTTAACCACCTCACTAGCATGTGTTATAATAATAACATCTATAGCCCTAATACACGAAACATTCAACATGTAAATTGGGTTTGTATTGCTAAATTGTACCCTTAAAATCATTTATCATATTATTTTTAAAAAAAAATAATTAAACAATAATAAAATAAATAAAGAATAACAAACAAACAAACACACCTTGGTAAAAATAGGATTAAATGACCAGCACCAGTTGTAGACGTGCTGTAGCATGGATGTAAGGATTTCAACATGTTATCCAATAAATTAAAGAAGATCCAAGGGATTGATAATTCCAAATCAATGTTAAAACAAGTCACGTTTTTTTTTTCTAAAATATAGAATGGTTTTTATACTTGGATGTTTTTAGGATGAGTATATATATCTATTTGTATTAATTTTGAATTATCTACTACAAATATATCTAAGCACCGTCAAGCTCATGTATTTTGTAAATTCAGCTTTCATTTGAATCTGTTAACGTGTTACTAATGCATTAAAGCTTAAAAAAAAAAATAACTGAAAACAATTACCAAAAAATAAATAAAAAGAAATCAATTGAAAAAAATCTACACAATTTAATTGAAAAAAAAATCTACACAATTTCAGTTTAGCCATGAATTTTTTTTTTGGAAGTTGTTTCCAGCTTCAGCGCCACTCCACTATATAGATTTCCATCAATTGAGGCATAGCTAATTAATCCAATTCTTGCTTTTTTTATCGAATGCTCTCATCCCGGTAGCGCTACCGGAAGGTCGCGACATCGTCATGCTTCCAATCGCTGATTCATCAAGAGTTTTATTAATTACGTAACTATGTGTTTTCTATGATCGTGGAAACGCTAGGCCTATAAGCAACATAAATCGATATCCAAATAACTTTCGTGTTTGTTTTGCGTGTTTTTTGTTGTTGTTTTTTTAAAATGTACACTAGGCCTAGGCCTATACAAAAGAAAAGTCTTCAGTGTTTATATATAACAGTATTTTGGGCCAGCCGCCCAAAGCCGGTGAATTAAAATTAATTATAAAAATAAAAGAAAAACACTATTTTTAAAAAGTATTGTCTTCTTTTTCTATACTAAAGAAAAATGTTTGTACAACAGGAAAAAAATATATATTTTCGGCCACTGCCTCAAAGCTGGTGAATAAAAATTAATTAAAAATAACTTTTAATGAAAATAAACGGTATAATAATATGTGAATTTTAAATGAATCATTTTCCTCAATCTGTTTCCTTTAGCCTTTTGAGTGGAACAGGATTGTGTTGCAAAAGAGAGAATTTCTAAGTGCAATGGGCTCAATAAACATTGCATGTATAGGCTCAGTCTTCTTTTTTAAAGCTGGTAATAAAGTTGCGCATTTTCGTAAAATAGTAATAACATCTTCATAAATCATTTAAAATAAAAATGCAAAGTTTTTTGAAAAAAAAGTATAAACCAAACTGGCAGCTTAAAGCTGACCTTGATTAAAGTAATACTCAAAAGCTAGAAGCTTTATGTATGATTAATTTTTTTACAAAAATTTGTGTGTTTTATGCTGTGATGAAAACAGATTATTCGATTTTGAAAATTGAGGTGAAGAATAAAAAAAAAATGTTCTATTTGACTTTTGTCATGAAAAAGTTTTGCTTATTATAGAATTGGCTGTGATTTATTAAAGATTTTCAATATGCATTTTTCAATTTTAGTGTTCATGGTGTTTTTTTTTGTTCTCATAAACTGTTTTATTTACGTCTGCTTTCATTTGAACACTTTAATTTGGTCTTAAGAATTATTATTATTTTTTTTAATCAATGAAGATTATTTTATTCTTATGAGTGCCACTATGTTATCGTATTTAAAATATCATATAAAAAAATCAACAATGTTTTGTTTGTAAAGAAAATAAAATTAGGTTTATTTTAATACTGCCCTAAAATTTTTTTTTTTAAAAAGTATTTTGCTGCATCGTCTTAAAGAAAAAAAAATGTTTATGATTTTTTTTCCTCCAATTTATATAAATGCATTTAATGCAGGATGTAGGCAAAACTTAACACTTTTTAATGTCGACCTTTTATTTAATGTGTAAAACTCATCCAACACTCATGTTTATCTGTTCAGTTCTATCACTAAGCTTCATCCTGTCGATTGACTGACCAGTTTAACGGATACCAGGGTTTCCAGCGCGTCTGCTTTTGATCAAGAATCGCATCCAAAAATTTACGCTTAACGGCAAAAATAAAATACTACAAACTCCACCACCCCCCACCCCCAACTCTCTTGTGACTAATTTCTGGCTGCTGTTACATTAAGATCGCCGTAGTGATCAATGAACATATTTCAAGTAGAACGGGCTGGGATGAGTAGTCTATTTTTACTCCATGATTTAGGATCAACATTGAGTTTCTGTACAAAATCGGATGAATTAAACAAAACCTAAAAAACGAAGGGGTTTTTTTTTTTGGCAGAAAAGCATTATAAAATGTAATATGCTTATCTTTTATATTAACTCTGCTTTTGTTCGTGGGGCTGAACATTTGAAAGAATGCGTTGTCATCGGGGGAAAAAAAAAGTATATGTACCAAGTTTCAGCTCGATAGGTTGATGGGAAGTGGGCCAATTAGCCCTTCTGAATATTTCGCCAACCAGCCAGAAACACCAATATAAAATATTTAAATTAAACAACACCTTAAAACAAGGTTTTTCTTATATTTTTTTTTATAAAGTCTATTATCGAGCTATAGATGGGGGGTGGGGGGTGGGTGGGTTTGAAAATTTGACTAAACATGAATTCGCATTTTGTAGGAATCCCAATTAGTGCTTCCGCCCCCAAGACTCGCAACGGCATATTTTGATCACACCACTTTTTTTCCACAGCAGATTTTTTTCAACAACTCTTGCAGAAAAAACACAAGTAAACATTACGCACCGAACGCATTAGCGATTTAAATAATTTAAAAAAAAAAAGAATCTCATTTAGCGTAGTTATCGGGCATTTAATTTCCTATTTCCCTTGAAAAACAGTTAAAACTCATTGTTAGGGGCTGGGATTGGGGGGGGGTCTGACAATTTGATATAATGTGTTGTCATTGGCAACGCGTCTGCGAGCCAAGTTTCAGCTCGATAGCACATAAGCCGTCCGAATATTTTGCCATCAAGCCAGTCAGCCTCTCAGAAATAAAAAGCAAAGTTAATGTAAAGGATTTACAAAGCACGATGTGTTTTTTTTAATTTCCTTTGGCGTTTTGTCGGCCAAAAATAGCGCTGCCATGAAATTTCCAACTGTGGCAGGCTGCCCCCCCCCCCACACCACTCTTCTTTCGCTGCCGATGACAATTTTTTTCTCTCTCCAAGACAAATGCCGAAACAATGTTTCCAAAAGCGTCTCTGCACTCTGTCAATCTCAACTATTTTATCATTCCGACACCGTAAATGTCTTGAAAAACAGTTGTCGGAGTAGATCTAAAAATTGCTCTGACGTGTTACTACGTCGTCAACGCAAAGTTGTGATCTGTATAGGAATTACCGATACCAACAGCACAAAGTATCGGCAGTATGCCAAATGCAAACTACCACCTATCTGTAATATCCTTGTAATGACGTGGCACTATTTTTGGCACGAAAACACAAAAAAAAAAAAAAAAAAAAAAAAAAAAAAAAAAAAAAAAAAAAAAAAAAAAAAAAAAAAAAAACAAAAAAAAAAAAAAAAAAAAAAAAAAAAAAAAAAAAAAAAAAAAAAAAGAAAAGAAAAAATGGCAGGAGACCCCAAAAGTCACGTGACGGCTTTGGTTATATCTGGCTGCACTTAAATCTCGGCTTTATTACGATGGACTGAAGAACGGTACTTAAAAGAATAGTAAACGCGGTTCAAATTTCTATTTTTTGCACATTAAATTTCAGCAAGTAACAGGCTGTCACGAAGTCTCGCTATAATAAGCTGGGACCAGTAAAGTCTAGTTCAATGAGCTGAATAGTTATCTCAATTTTATTGCTTCAATTTAAATAAAGTCTACTTCAAAAACTTTTTGTTTACCAAACGAGCAAAGTGTTTTAAAAAAATATGTTTAAAATCATATAATTCTTCATGGATTATTAAGTATTCAATTTCATTTTTGTGGTAACTAATAGTTTAATCTGATAAATCCCATTTGATATAATACTGGGAATCTCCGCAATAATATGGAGTTCATTTGGATTACTTCAAAAGGTGAATATCATATCGATGTTACAATCTTAAGTTAAATGTAGTCTAAAGTATTCTATCGATGAGTAAATAAAGTTACTTTAAACAATATTGAAAATTTAAATTAAAGCCTTAGCTTCTAAAACGTTTTTGCGTGTAATCCGTTAATGAGTTATGGAACTGGAATTTTCCAGTTAAATCAAAGCAAGATAATTCTCCGTTCTTGTCACATCCAGCTGAAGTTTGAAGATAAAATCTTTCTCTTTGGGGTAATTTGGCTAAGACGCAGTCATTAGTTGTGTAAAGGCTGTACACCTTGCTAACTATTTGCCAATATAAATCTATTTATAACTTAATTTAGATGTCTTGTGTTCAAATTGTTTTAGTTGAAAAATGTGGACTTTATTAAAATATCGATTTATTTATGTGCTTAAAATGTATAGGTACAATGAAATTTTAAAAAAAAATCCATTTGTTTGTGTCAATAAAAGAATCTTATCTTATTCGATTTATGTCCAAGCTTTTATTTTCGTTAATTCGTACCAAACTGACGGATGTGAAATCATGCTTAGAAAGTACAAAGTAGGTATTAATTTTGAAATAATTTGTGTGGTTTAAATTTCAACACACACCGTATGTGCCTTCACGTTATCAAGATCATATGATACACCTTGGTTGGGAGTGACGATAATTGTGTCGTTTATTAGGGCTAGGGATAGGCCAATGAAAAGATGCACCCGGGGCGGGGGGCGGGAAGTGGCGCCCCCGCTTCATCAATCAAAATAAATTTGATATATGCATAAACTTTTAAGACAAGAAAATGTGGGGAGAATGCAGTGTTTTTTTCAGCAATTTTCCCCCGGGTGGGCAATTCAGATTTTCGGGGGGGGGGGGGGCCTTTAGGTTTTTTATTTTTCGGGGGGGGGGCAGTGCCAGCAGTTCCAGTTGATTTATTGTTGGACATATTTTTGCTTGGGGGGTGGCACTTGGCTTTCTCCGGGTGGGGGGGCAGTGCCCCCCGGAGATATAGCTGAAAGAAACCCTGGGGGAATGGGTGTGTGTTACAAGGATCAAGTGAGCTTAAAGCTCCCGATCTTATGTCGATGAGAGGTATGGGGAAGGAGTGATCAGTTTATCTTTGTCAAGGCACCTGTAGCATTACTTGCCGTAGCTTAACCCTTATATTATTTACGTTTTATTTATGCTTTGAAACAACGATCTGGTAATGTGTTTTTCCTAGATGTCACCTAATTCAATGAGAGGGATCTCTCTTATACACCCTAAATAACAACAACAAACTGCTGAAGCTTTGCGTCAGCTCCTACTTTTAAGCTCTAGGGACAACATTGTTTTTAGTTCCATCAACAAATAAATTTCATTGATATAATCTTTTTGAAGTTTTCTTTGATTTAGCTACGGAAATTTAAACAATGTCATAATTGACACCGATAAATAAACAATATTTTTGTTTGTTTTAAAGACGAGTCTTGAATGTAAAATTTACATTTTGTTTTATCTGCAGATCCTACACATCAAATGTTGTGTAAAGACAGCAGAAATAAAACAAAAATAATAAAAAATTAAAATCTAATAATAATACCAACAATATAAAGCACAAAAGGTATTTATTAAACGCTATTTAAAAACAGCATTGAAGAGAAACGGAAACGGTGAATTCCCTAAAGCCAAACATGGAAACTCAAACTCAAGCCAGAGCAACAGGGAGTTCTAACGACCTGCTTAGAATGCGAGCTGACATGCAAGATCAGGCTAACGAAAGAGATTTTGAGGCTGGGCCAACAGCGAGGCGAACAGTTTGCAATACAAGTGATGTCCCAGAGGGAAATCATCCTCACAGTGTTGATGGGAAAGAGTGGCACTGTTTCAGAGATGAAACAAACCGCCTTCTTAGTTTCGCCAAGTTTCCAAGGACAGCTGCCAAATCTGCCACGCTCCTGGCGAACCACGGATTCGTGTACACGGGGGTCGGTGACGCGACGGATGACGCGACCACTTGTTACTTTTGCGGTGCGCGCAAGAAAAAATGGCAAGCTTCGGACGTCGTTTCGAGCATCCACCATCCATCTTGTCCAATGGTGACAGAAACACACTGCGCCAATGTTCCCATTTCAACGAACCGCGCTGGTGAAGAACTCCAGGTCCAAGGAGGTAGTATGCACTGCGTTGAAAAAACAGAGATACAAAGGCCAGACCAGGCAGATGTAGATGTTAATATACACTTGAGCGAGGAATCTGCTTCAGTCGGAGGATGCGATCAAACCCCATCCAGCATCAAACAAAATGAAAGACCCTGCGCTATGTTTTCAAACTTGACAAAGTCCAAGTCACATCTTCCGGAAGAAACAAAGGTGGCGACAGTTTTCAGTCACCAGAAAAGTTTTTTTCCAGAGAGGAAACACCCTTCAAAACAAAACACATCAAACATTAAACATGAAAATGATAAGCCTCCATGTAATAAGGAAAACACATTTATTTTGGAAAGCCCAAAGAGCCCAGAATATGTTTCCGAAGACAGCCGATTGCGGACCTTCACAACTTGGCCGAGCGAGCATCATTTGAAACCACGTGATCTTTCAGATGCTGGTTTTTATTACGAAAGTAAGTCAATAGTTTGCTTTTTTTTTTTTTTTTAAATAATGCTTGAATATCTTTTAAAAAGTAAAAGTTAATATTTCATTTAATTTTATAAAAAAAAAAAAGATTTATGAAATAAAATTATTGCCGACAAATTTTAAAGGGTTAAAGTTGAAGAGTGTGTGTCAGTGTGTTTTTGTGTGTAGATATTGATATGGGCTGGAAAAAAAATAAGATAAAATAAGTTGAATTTTCAGCTAACTTTCTCATCTCCATCATGTGATACTCATATTCAACGTAGACTTAATTTTCATTGCAAGGACTTTTTTTCCGCGATTCAATGGGGCACGACAGCTTGTTATAAAAAAATTTCGCGGAGAAATGAGCCATCGAGAAGTTTAGCGGTCGTAGCTCTGTCCTGCGAAAGTGGGAGCGTCTCCGAGGAAACTTCGGAGGAGTCCACATGGGGTTTGCCTCTTCTGGCGTGGGAGGCTAGTATGACCGACCGAAAGACTCCATGGGCGTTGGGCTATAAAAGATTGAATCTCATTCCATTAGATGGTGTAACATTATTAGCTGTAGTAGCGATGATTTTCATTGGTCGAGGCCGTTGTTTGGTTACATAAATATGGATTGGATGATGAATCGTGTATATCAAGTAGGAATTAAAACCCCCGGATGTTAAAAAAAAGGTGGATGGTGTCGACGTGCAATCTACTCTGTTTTACACAAAACAGTTTAAAAAATAAAATAAAATGGACGTACCCCATAAAATAAGTTGTCAATGAAAGATGTTCGAGTGAACCAATTACTACTTCAGAAATATTGATGACTTTTTTTATATTAACTTTTGTGGATTCTTTCCTGGTTGTCCTATTTTCACCTTGAAATTTGTTTGTAAAAGACGGTATGTTAGACCGTTTAGAATTATGATGACGAAAGACGAAAAAGTTATGATGCTAGTATTGTTAGTGTGGCACTAAGTCTCACACATTCAATACAATACCTCTGCCTATTTGCTTCTGTCTCTTGGCGCGGCTATGTCATTGACACTGGCAAACGTTATGTTTTATAGATACAAGGGACCTAGTCAGATGTTTTCACTGTGGAGGTCGCCTGCAAAACTGGAAGGACACCAGTGACATCCGGGTGGAGCATGCAAGATGGTTTCCGAATTGTGGCCTCGTCCGTCAACAACTGGGTCAAAACTTTGTTGATGCTGTGAATGAACTCGAGAGGACCAATCAGCAGGTCTCTGTTGCTCCTTACGTTACTGGAGCGCTACTATTTATTATTTTTTTTTATTTTTTATTTTTAACTTTAAAAAGTTTGATTCATTGATAAGAGAGTACCGATTTAATTGCATGATCCGAAACAAAAAGGTAGAATTTATCTGGGTTACGCATTTCCCATTTCTTTAAAAAAAAGAAAGAGGTGAACGTCCTCATCTAATTAAGTACAATAATTTCATTGAAGGAATCGTCACACATTTCTATATCTTCATTCATTACAATTATATTAATATGAAGAGTTAAATGTATATCTGTTCAGTGTACCAAGCGTCTTCAAATTATAATGAATGAAGTTTTTAAAAAACACACTTTACGCCTAGCACTGTGCCGTAGTGGTTATCATTGTATTTCTTAACACTTTAATCCACTTCATTGTTGTTATTATCATAAACCTATATCTAGTTAAGCACAGATGATTGAAATAGCTACTTATAAAATGCATCAGCATCTCATAAAACCCAGGGCATTTGGACGGTATGACTTTTCTGCAGCAATTTTACAAACAACAAACAACCAAATAATTTTTAGAAAATATTCTCCTAAAATTGTAATTCCTTGCAAACAACCTACAGGAGCTGGGGATTCCACGCGCTGCTACCACTGCGGCGGCGCACTAAGAAACTGGGGCCATTCGCACAACGTCTTTGTCCTGCACGCCAAGTGGTTCCCAAACTGCAGTCACATGCGTCTCCTCATGGGCCAGAGTTTCGTGGACACGGTGCAGGAATGGAGGCGAGCCGGGGAGGTACACAGATCCGCACAATCACAATCGTGTCTTCATGCTTTCATCACAACCATCTTCATTATCACCCCTGCAAGCGTAGTAGTGTATTAACTTTCATCACCGTCCTCATCATTATCACCATTCCAAGCGTAATTGTGTCTTTACTTTCATCACACTCATCAAAGTCACCATTATCATCACCACCATCATCATCATGCCCAGCATTACCATTGTAAGCGTAATACCGAACATCATCCTACTGCGACATGTACAAAATACCTGCCTCTTTACCTCAATTTTAATTTTTTTTTGTTCCTTTTCCTGGTGACATCATGCGACATTATGCGACATTATGCGACATTGTGTGACATTATGCGACGTTATGCGACATTATGCGACATTATGCGACACTCTGCGACATTATGCGACATTGTGTGACATTATGCGACATTATGCGACATTATGCGACATTATGCGACATTATGTTTAACGGCTAGAAACGTTCATGTAATATAAATTTAATGTTGAGTAGAATTCCTGAAAACATGTTTAATCTCCATGCCTAAAACAACAATAGACACATCAGTAGGCTAAAGTTGAAGGTCAAACTTCATCTGCGATCGTTAAAACTGGACAAACGCCATGAGAGAAATATATACACGCCCAGAACCGATAGACTTGGAAAAATTAAGGCTTGGGGTGGGGGGGGGATGGCTGAATTTATTTGGGGGGAATTACGAAATTACAGTAAACCGCAACTTTGAAGTTGAAGTATTTAGGTTTAATTATTTCATGTTAAACCTATATGTATGTACCATTGCCGTAGCTAGGTTTAGTGCCGCCCGCGGGCAGTGGTCGAAGCTTTTGTGTCCCCCCACACCCCTTTTCCACGAAAAAAGCCTCCGCAGTTGGCACAAAAAAAAATAAAAAATGCCGTTCGGTCTTATAAAGAAAATAGTTCCACCTGGGGCGGATCGCCCCCCTCACTCACGCACCCCTTTTTCGTACGCCACTTGTGTGTACGATTCGTATCTCAAATCTCAGCGTGTTGGATCTTTTAATGCGAGAGTGGTAGACGTGCATTGTTTGCAGACAAATTGTTATTACGTTTACTTTCTGGCCATTCTGTAAGCATTTGCTTTATTTATAGATCACTATTCTCAATCATAGGGCGGCTTGGCAAAGAGCGACCACAGGGTCTAACACCGTTATTATTATTTTTAAAAATATATATATTTTGATGCCATGGATGATGTCTTAGCTTAATATGGACAAAAAAATCAAAACGACTAGAATTTGATTAAAAATTTAACATTCTACACAAAAACGTAATGAAGAACTCTAATCTCATAAATATGAATTCTGGTTTCTCAACGATGAATAAGACATTTACACAAAAAAAGTAATATTGTTATTGTTTGGGGATGTTTTTCTCCTCCATTGACAGAACTCACTGGCTTCTCTGTATTCTAAGCTGAGGCCGAAAGAAATTGAAACCATCACAGGTACGACAATTCTGTTCATTTGATTATTTTTTTTTCTTAAATTTCAATTATTTTTACTTAGGTTTAGCCGTTACAGTGAACATAGTTGTTCAATCAAATAACTGTGTCACAATATACGTATACAAACAGTATATATTTCAAATAGAAATAATGGAGCTGTAAAGTTTTTGTGTACTAAAATCATGTACGGTACAAAAGATCAATATAAGAATAGCTTCGGGGTCTATAAAAAATTGTTTAAGCACTTCCTAAAGTATTTTCACGACCTATACAACTTTAATATTCTAAAATAGCGAGTAAAAGACCTTTAAATCTAATGCAACACCTGTATAGCTAGCACAAGACCTTTTATAGCTAGGTCAAAACCTTTAGAGCTTGCACAAGACCTTTATAGCTAGTACAAGACCATTATATCTAGCACAAGATCTTTATAGCTAGTACATGACCTTTACAGCTAGTGCAAGTCATTTATATCTATTATAGGACCTTTAAAGCTAGTACAAGACCTTTATAGCTAGTACAAGACCTTATATCCATTACAACACCTTTAAAACTAGTACAACACCTTTTATAGCAAGTACAAGATCTTTTTAGCTAGTGCAAGACCTCTATGGCTAGTACAAGACCTTTATAGCTATTACAAGACCTTTATAGATAGTAAAAAGACCTTTATAGCTACTACAATACCTTTTATAGCTATTACAAGCCCTTCATTCATAGAGTAAGCAATAGGTGTTTTGAAGTGGTATCTACCGTCATTATGTCAAGAAAAAATACATTCCGCATTGAATGTGTCGTATAAATCTATCCTACGTGCAAGATGTAAGAGTTATACAATTGAAAGGTCGCGCCAGCAGATCATCAATCATTTATTGTAATCGATTTCATCAGTCACGCTTCAGTGACATTAGTGCAATGAAATTGCAAAAATAAATGTTAACATGGAATTATTAAAGGTTTACACCCGAAGGATAATGCTAAAATGTATGTTTGTAATGTTGTGTTAAAAAAAACATATCTTACTTATTCTTACATAATATATCAGATGTATGCCATTTTAAAGTAAGAACTTCACCACATATGTTGTTTACAGAGATTACGCCTTTCATTTTTTTATTATTTTTTTTATTTGTCAAAGCTGGTTTTCAGAAAAGAAAGATACCCACTGGAAAGGAACTACTTTGTAAGATGTGTGAGGGCAGTGACGTGGCTATCATGTTTATCTCCTGCGGGCATCTAGCTACGTGTGCCCTGTGCGGGCCCGGAGTGGAGAAGTGTCCTGTGTGTCAGATACAAGTAACAGGAAGGGTCCGAGCCAACTTTTAATTCAGTGCGGAGGTCTCTCGTCTTACTGACAAGTTTTATCGTATGATTGAATTCCGGTGATGATGAGTAATTGTTTATGCATTAAAAAATGTAAATATGTATCAATATGAAATTTAAATCTTCCATTTCTAACTCATTATTATTTATTTTTTTCTCTCTGAGAGCCAAGAGATTATGTTGGTGCTAGTACAATCCACTGTGATCCAAATTAAAATGACACTGAAATGAAAGGATGATGCTGCATGCTGTATATAACTGATGATGATAGTGAGATTCAGAGAGACAAACCCAAACTAAAAAAAAACATGTATGCAAGTAGGAATCAGCTCATAGCCCATAAGATAACAATGACTGGTTTCATTGACAGGTAATGGTCTTCTTTTTTCGAGGCACGTCTTATGTATTTATGTTCACTCGACCATTATCCTTGAAATATGTTCATTTAACCTTTAAAACACGTCTTGATGTATGTATGTATGTATGCATGTATGTATGTTTACCAACCAAAAAGCCTTAAGCTGTGTTCTTTTTACCATACGAAGAAAAAACGATACTGGCCATAGTTTTATAAATGATGAATAAATGGTTAAAATTAAAGGGGATACAAGCTGCTTCAAACATTCCAAAGTCATCTACCGGATAAGCATTTGCATGATTTTTTTCAATACAGATTATCGATTGCAAAACTATTTTTGTATCGAAATTTTTTGCATTTTATTTGAATAAAAATGGCATCGTATTTTACTTTAAAAAAAAGATTTGCATTCTTTTTTTTTTTTAATTTGTTTAAAAAAATAATAAAACAATCCACGTATTTCACAATATCTCAATTTAACTTTAGGAACACGAGCGTGGCAATCAAAGTTCGCCACGCTCAATTGTTTGTTTGGATACCCGTGCCTTTAGAGTTTGGATTAACCTGTTGGTCAAGGATACTGAGCATACACATGAACTCCAGCGCATTCATAACAGGACACATCCAGCACTTTTCTGTTACATTAGTTAGTTACTGTGGTTTCGGTTAGGCTGGTGAATGGATCATTCAAATTCGTTTTCTTTTATGACGATCGATTTATTAGTGGTCAGCTGGTACTGACCAAAGCTCAGGAAGTCATCATGCAGGGAAAAAAAAATATTGAACCAGGTTTTAATTACCATTTAAAAAAAAAAAAAATTTTAGCTCAAACCCTGTTGACCAGTACGGAATGTGAAGTTTGAGTTGCTTGCTTTAACTCCGTGGGTAGAGGGGAAAAAAAACCAAGGGTTAATAGGTACGCGTGTGTTGAGTCAAGAATAAACCCTGTGATGTCCGTGATGTCTTTTTTTCTACGTCTCGATGAGGTAAAATTGAACGCACAGCCTACCCAGAAGAGGAGGATTGAATTCAAGTTTTGAGGCTCGTCGGGTTAATCCATTTTTTTAAAAAAAAGCCTGTTGTGGCTATCTAGAAAAAGAGCATCATGATAAAATGGACACCGTACCGATATTTTGATGTTAATGTTATTATTATTTTTGTTGTTGTTGTTGTTCGTTCTAAAGTTGAAAAAAAAAAATCTGAAATTACAAATTCCTATAAACACCGAACCAATTTTACTTAGTTTATACGCTAACATCTTATTAAAGATGTCATACAAGATTTGCTGGTGAATAATAGATGATATCCAACGAAAGAAGCGAAAGAAGCGAACACTCAAATGAACTTGAAACAATGCTTGCCCCCTATATATCAAGAATAAAACACAATATATTCTTTCAGGTGTCAGTTTGCCTTTTGTGACCAAGCGCGTAAAGCAGAGATTATTTAAGCCTGGACTAGCATCCAAATACACACAAGTACTATCGGTTAAAGCTTATATGACCTCCCCCCCCCCCACCGCTCACACCCCTGTCCGCGCACACAAAGCAATGGGATAAATAGGCATTAAAAAAAAAACAGTCTTCACTTTTATAACCATTTATTAAAAAATCAGTTTGCCGTTTGTGACAAAGCGCGTAAAGCAGAGATTATTTAAGCCTGGACTAGCATCCAAATACACACAAGTACTATCGGTTAAAGCTTATATGACCCCCCCCCCCCCCACCGCTCACACCCCTGTCCGCGCACACAAAGCAATGGGATAAATAGGCATTAAAAAAAAAACAGTCTTCACTTTTATAACCATTTATTAAAAAAAACAACAACACATATTTATAAATTGCGATGTTACACCAATGAAAATTTTAAGCTAAAATGTGACCTATGAACTATGAAACGTCCCAAGATGGCTACATTAAAGAAAGAAAGAAAGAAAGAAAGAAAGAACAGATAGCAGGAAAAGTATGCGACAAAAAGATGGAACAGGTTTTCTCTGAGACGGTGGTTCTCAAATTTTGTTTTTGGCCTTCCTGTCTTGGAGCCATTTGATCTTCGGATCCGACCCCTTTCAGGAAAGACTGTTAGTGTACTTTGCAGGACACTGCAAGGAAGATTATACTGACACTTTAAAATAAAATTCATCAAATATAAATCGCATTCTGCTGTCCCCTTTCATCAGGAGGGGTGGGGGGGGGGGGGAGAAAAGTGTCACATGGAGGTATAGTTGACAGATTTCCGCAAGGTGAGGGTCCTGCTGAAGGTCCATGTCCCAGTGAGTCAAGTGGCCGGATCGCCTCAGTGTGTGAGGCCTGCTCGAGGTAAGGTGACGGATCGCCTCAAGGCTCGAGGCCTACGACAGGCTCATGTTGTGGATTTTTTAGGATGTCCTTAAAACAGAATAAAGTCAAATTGTTTAAATTAAATAAACTGTATTAACTTAATCCAGCGTTGCCGCTGTTATTTGATGTAGTTTTTGTTAAATGTATTTATTTTTTCGCAAGTAACTATAGATTCTAAACTATTTATGCATGAAGTGACTCGTGAAGTGAACTGAACATTATTTTTGTTCACTGTCCAGTTCAAAACTACTTAGCAAAACTTAAATCACTATGTTCAGACATTTCGAGCTCGTTTCTTTGACATAGAAAGATGATGGAATGCCTAAGGGAAACAACCTCAGCCACTCAAAAATCCTTTTTGTCCCCCTCTCTGTTACCTCACATCTCTTTGGAGGGCTCACACAAAGCATCATTATTCAAAATTTTACTGTTTATTCCTACCCGAGGACATTGTAACAAAATAAAATTTCCAGAATCATAATAGAGCCCTACGTTTGACAGGAAGTAAAATTACTAACACAACCTAATAAAGAATAACTAAAAATATATTAAAAAATTACTTTCTATCAAAGACTATTTTTAACGCACTGAATAGGAGAAAAACATTTTTTTAATTCATCATTTTTTGACACTATTTTATTTTCGAGTAATACATTTAAGAAATTTTAAAGTTTCTTCTTTTTTAAGTGCGTTTTTGATAGAAAGTCTTTTTTTTTTAAAGTTGTCTTTAATGTTTTTTAGTTTCCAAATTTTAGCATTAAAACTGTAATATTTAATCGTCAAAAGTAGTACTATTTTCTTTTTTAAACAACGAATGAATTGACTTAACTCTTTCCTTTGGCATAAAACTAAAAATTAGATCTGAGCTCCCCTAATAAACCTTGTCCGGTCTTTGACCCCAATGAAACAGACGCTGTCCACCATGATAATTGGAGGGAAAACTTCAACCCGCCTCCATTGAACCAGCCGTACCGGAGATCGTTCTACCCCCCTCCCTCCCAACCCACCCACACTTCTCCCACTGTTCATTGAACGCAGGATATACAATGAACCACCATCGACTGAGCGATAGAGTCACATGTGTCCAAAAAAATTTGTAAAAAATGAAGTTTTGCGAGTAGAAGAAGTCTTTAATAAAACAAAAACTGAAGAGCTTGCCATGTCTCACTAAACATTTTCTCACATAATAGGGTAAACCCACTTTGAGGCGAAATGAAAATAGACCATTACGTGTTAGAACGTGGTTCAGTGCCAGAGCCAGGCCAGGGTGTTTAAAATAGCTTTCAAAAAAAAAAATTATAATTATATATATAGCACTTACGTGGCTCTGTGTGTTTCCGAAAATGATCAGTATTATGGGAAACGGAGTGGCTATTCGGACCAGGGTCCGAGAAGTGAGAGGTTGAGATTAAAATTTAATTTAAAAAAATTGTTAGGTTGTTTAAGACAAATCTTGGAATCAAATGAAATATAATTAAATGGACTATATGTTTGTAAACTTACTTCTTCAGTTTAACTAAAATAAACTACCACAAATGACATCCGAATAGCATTGGTTTAATGGGACCCGGGTGCGAATGGCGGCGCTGCGTGTCCGGGTCCATTTTGACTAAATGCCATTGGGATGTCATTTGTTTTAATTTATTTTAGTTAAACTGAAGAAGTAAGTTTACAAAAATATAGTCCATTCAATTATCTTTCATTTGATACCAAATTTTGTCTGAGAAACCCTACAATAATTTTTAAATATTTTTTTAATAATCCAATTCTCTCACTTCTCTGACCCGGGTCCGAATAGCAGCTGTATATAATTTTACGGATTTTCCCACTATTATCTTTAAGAAAAAGATGGCTGTATCACTGTATCCAACTTTGGGATGTATAAACCTAAATACTTGTTGCAGTTCACAACATTTTGCGGAAACAGTAGTTCAAATGATATATATGGCACAGCAAGGTACGTTGAAATTTCGTTTCTGATTTACTTTTTTAGAATTTATTTGTCTGTACAGTCACACCTAAACATTCTAGCAGTGTAAGAAACATCAAAGTTACTTTGAGAAGTTATAATACTAAAATGTGTCAAATCTGAATTTTAAAATACATATTTCTAGTATTTCTACACGATTCGCAAAGAAACTGGTCTAGCTTTCTTTATTTCTTTTTTTTTCCTTTTTTTTTTTGAACACTCATTAAAGAAGAATTCAAGTAAGCATCCTGTATAAAGATACAATTCAAATTTTATTGAAGAGAAATGATTGTAAGCGACATATTTTAGAGTTTCCTTTGCACTTCTTTTAACAACACCTCCACGTATTTTTATGTTGTTTTTTTTTTTTTTTTGTTCTTAAAAAAAAAAAAAAATTATTTGGATAAATCGTGCGTTAAATAATTACAACAAATCACCCGGAGAATATGTGAAGCAGGTTAAATAAAAGTGATGTCATTTTTAGAGTCAGTTAAAACCACAAAAGGGATGTTATCAATAGAAATGCACTGATCGAATTAAATTTTCACAAAATCTGCGATAAAAGAAGCTATTAAAATTTTATTCACTTTTCGTTTGATCAACAGCGTATTCCAGTCATACCATCATTAAATTATTAAAATACATTATAAAATATAAAAATTACATTAAATAAATCAATCAATATATATATATATATATATATATATATATATATATATATATATATATATATATATATATATAAACATTGTTGTGGTATAAATAATATTTCCTATACAGGACCGAACATTTAAATGTATAAATATGTATATAATGCTGTGATGGCACAAAGATCATGTGTTCTTGAATGTTAATTATAATTAGACGTTGTATGTCTGCCTCACAATATTTTTTTCTTTTCTTGTTTTTTTTTAAATTTCTTAGAACATGGAATGTTCTGACAGCTCCGACGATGATTCCAGACTCCCTAATGGCCATACTTTAAACTTTGGAGGCGGCGCCGCAACATACCAACAGGCAACTCTTGCGAATCGAGATGCTCTTGGTAGTATGATAAGTTGATAACGCATGTTTAAAAAAAAATTATTGAATGATTTCATCTTGTATATATGTAAGTGAGTGGTGACGTGAATGTGTGAGTAAGGGATGACGAGTAGGAGTTGTTGTAAATGTAATCACCCCCCCCCCCCCGTGCGTGAAATTGTGTCGGTGTGTAAGAAAATGTGTATAGTGCATGATGCTCGTCAAAAACAGTTGCACTGGAAAGATCCTGAACATCAAATGGCCAATCACCATCAACAACAAAGACTTACTGGAAAGGACATACCCGGAGCCTATTACTGAAAACATAAAGAAAAGATGGAGTTGGGTAGGGCACACTCTCTGCACATACACAAGTAACATCATCAGGCTATAGCTAACATGGAATCCACAGGGAAGAAGAAAGAGAGGAATCCCTAAGAATACGTGGAGACGCGAGCTAGAGTCAGACACTCAAAGTATAGGATACACATGGAAGCAACTGGAAAGGAAAGCACAGGATTGAGATGAAATGAAAATTCTTGTAGACGGCCTATTCCCCACACGGCATGTGCCCAAGATGGCCGATGCCCCAGATGGCCGATGCCCCAGATGGCCGATGCCCCAGATGGCCGATGCCCCAGATGGCCGATGCCCCAGATGGCCGATGCCCCAGATGGCCGATGCCCCAGACGGGTTGAAAGGCATACATAAGTAAGTAAGAGTCGAAATAAGAAAGCGAGTGACTGAAACTGGCATTATGAAGATGAGAAATCACTTTTCTGTAATTACACTATAGATTACACTATAGATTACACTATAGATTACACTATAGATTACACTATAGATTACACTATAGATTACATTATAGATTACACTATAGATTACACTATAGATTACACTATAGATTACACTATAGATTACACTATAGATTACACTATAGATTACACTATAGATTACACTATAGATTACACTATAGATTACACTATAGATTACACTATAGATTACACTATAGATTACACTATAGATTACACTATAGATTACACTATTATAATAAATAAATTTGCACAATTGTGTTTTACTAATTTTTTCATTGTTTCCAATCGATGAAAGTCATATAAAATATAAACAAGGCTATTTATTCTTTACGACAGTTTCGAATATTTCTTGATTTTAATTTTAATCATATTTTTCGCATTATACGTCTTAATCTTCATTTTAATAATTACACCTTCAAGAACCCCTTAAAAAAAGATTTTCTATAAGTCCTTAATATTAATTTTTAAAATTATTATAGTTTATATTAATATTCTAATGTCCCATTTGCTTGTACACCGCAGATTTATTTCACCAACTATGTCAGAAAAACACAAGAAAATGTTATGCAACAAACGCACTTGCGATACATTTAAAAAAAAATTATCTCATTTAGCGCAGTTGTCGGGAATTTTATTTCGTTTAATAAGTGTCATCATTTGTCCTTTATCTTTCCCTTGAAAAACAGGGAAAACTGATTTTCGGGGGTAGAAGAGTGGGGCTGAAATTTCGTTAGAATGTGTTGTCAAGTTTCAGTTAGATGTGTTGACGGGAAGCGAATTTACAAGGTATTTAAAAATTAAATAAGTTTAAATTCAAATTTCAGGCATGGTCTCAGGAACATCAGTTGACAGCGCTGCCCCGTTGGTCTCAAGAACACCAGTTGACAGTGCTGCCCCGTTGGTCTCAAGAACATCAGTTGAGAGTGCTGCCCCACTCACTGGTCCCAGTGCTATGTTCGAGGGCGCGGTAGTCGCAGCGCAGTCATTTGATTGGTCGAGCGACTCGAAACGGCGGGAGACTTTCAGAGCATGGCAGATCAGCGACACGGAGAAAGAAAAATTCGTCCGTGCTGGATTTTATTACACAGGTAGGACTGCATCAAAATAAGTTTTAGTCAATGCTAAGAGCAAAACCTGAGCGTGTAGCGTGTTTCTGGGCCGGCGCTAGGATGGTGCGGGGCCTTGGGCAAATTGAATTTTGCAGGGCCGTTGACGTTATATATTCCGCCGATAGGATATTAAGACACGTTAAAGTCGTACTGGGGCCTTGCTGGTCATAATGGGACGCGTCATAACGGATATTTGTTCACTCGCTTAGTTTCCGAATATTGTGTTGACTGGATTAGGAACTGTGCAACCGGGCAAACAAGACCCTGGGGTTCCTAAGGCGCAATCTGAAGATCGGCAACTCAAGTGTGAAAGAAAAAGCCTATAAAGCCTTTGTCCGACCTATTTTAGAGTATGCTTCTACAGTCTGGGACCCATTTACCCAGAAAAGCATAGACATGTTGGAGGCGGTCCAGCGACGGGCAGCACGCTTTGTCATGAACCGCTACAGAAGCACCTCGAGTGTTGGCAGCATGCTGGAAACACTGGGCTGGTCGACATTGGAAGAACGACGACGACTATCCAGGCTCACCATGTTGTACAAGATAACAAATGGACTGGTGCACTGCTCCGGAATCAAACAGAAACTCGTTAATCTTCCCCCCAGACTGCGACGAAGTCACGACAAACAGTTCCGGCTGGTAAAAACAAGAACGAAGTACAGAAGCTCCTCATTCCTGCCGAAGACAATAGGGGACTGGAACAAGCTTCCAAAAGCAACAGTTGAGGCGGCTACACTCGATACATTTGTGTCTATTGCCTCCTGTATTCCAACCCCCAGTTCATAACACCACTGCTGAGTCGCCCTTGCAACCAGTGAAGTATCCCATTGAAACCCATGGACAGTAACATCGCAAACCTCTCTGAAACATAGGAGCCAGAATGATCAATTCATTGATCGTGGGCCCTTAAAATAAAGAAGAAGAAGAAGAAGAATTGTTAGTAGGCTTAGGGAAATTATATATATACTAAGGCGACGCGAGGGGTCCTGCAAACGCGGGGCCTTGGGCGGGAGCCCACTTCGCCATCCCCTAACGCCGGCCCTGTGTGTTTGTTGTTGATATAGGGTGCGTTTGTTGTGAATGTGTTTTCGTTATTGGGAGATCTTCATTGGTTGTTATAAAAGTGTTTCTGATTATAAATTGGATGATAAATGAGCTAGTATATGTAATAAGAGTAATTAATATACAAGGATTAGCTGCAACTAATCACAGTGCATCCTTGAAAAAAGAGAGAGAAACAGAGATAGACAGGGTGAGAGAGATAGAGAGAGAGAGAGAGACAGAGCCAGGCTGTAAGTTTTGTTTACAGTGAGATATAATGACTATATTAGGACCATAAAATGACTATACATGTTGCAAGGCTTTATAAATGGTAAAATTGTCTTCAAGTCAATGTGTTACAGGGACAAAAGTGATAGGCGATATCAATGTTTCCCAACGTGGGACGCGCAGCACGCAATGCTGGGATTTGGGGGGGGGGGAATTTATATTCGGAAATAGGCCATATGTGTACCTTCTAAAATTTTGGAAAAAAAAAAGGGAAGTGGGGGCAATGTAAAAAAAAACGCACACACTTTAAAATATAAAAATTTAAAATCTGTTATTGTCAGTCATTTATTTGCAATAAATGGTAATATTGGTTTCAAGTCAAGGGGTTACAGGGAAAAAAGGGAAAGGCGATATAAAGGTTTCCCAACGGGGGGCGGGCAGCACGCATTGCGGGGATTTGGGGGGGGGGGAATTTATATTCGGAAATAGGCCATATGTGTACCTTCTAAAATTTTGGAAAAAAAAAAGGGAAGTGGGGGCAATGTAAAAAAAAAACGCACACACTTTAAAATATAAAAATTTAAAATCTGTTATTGTCAGTCATTTATTTGCAATGCCACTTTGTTCCTGTGACAGGGGCCGGGGACCGAGTCAAGTGCTTCAAATGCTCGGGTGAGTTGGAGCACTGGAAACCAGGAGACGACCCGATCAAAGAGCATGGGGAAAAGTTTCCCAACTGCACCCTGTATCGAGAGGAGACAAGCGCACGACGCCCGAGCGTCATAGCGACCAACTGCACCGGGTTTAACTCCGGACGCCACTGAAGTCATTCCAGATACAACGTGTGACGTCAAGAGAAAAACAGATACATGATTCGCTGTTCCCGTTTTTTAATAGTGCCAACCGTAATGGAATATTAGACATTGCAGTTACTGGTATATTATTGTCTGCGATTAATACACCGGATAGAATTTTATTAGGAAAAAAATATAGAGATTTGGTACGTTGACTCTAATCTGCATAAATCAAATTCACAATTTCACACAGTCGCAATTATCTACACCTTTTTTGGGGTTTCTAATTGTTCTTCCACCAATTTCCTTTCTGTTCTTCTGCTCTTTCTTTTCATCAGGCCATTGTGTCTGTTCTTATTCTTGTCTTTTCTTTCATTTTTTAGGTCTAGATAGGATATATTTTTATAAAATTTACATTATAATAATATTAATTTAGTTATTGATTGGCTAACTTTCCTAGTTGCCATAAATGAGAGTAAAAGATAATTTAAATGAGAGGTATAAAATATTATAAATGAGGGGTATAAGATATTGCAAATGGGGTGTATAAGATACTATAAACCGGAGGTGAACGATAATATAAATGAGAGTATAATAAGCTACATAAAAGATGCAAAAGATAATATCAATAAAAGGTAGAAGATACTTTCAATGAGAGAAATAAGATAACATAAATGAGAGGTATATCATATTATATTGCATCCTTCCATGTTCGCGAGACGATTGAATATCTATATACATTTCAACGAATGGCTCTCTAGGCAAACCTTGGAATGGAAATCTCGGCTGCATTTCTCGCAGGAGAATATTGACTCCTGGTTATAGATTAGGCATTCCGTATTATTCTTATTGTTGCAAGAGGTTCGTTTCACGCATATTCTGCCTTTTTGACTCCTTCTTACACAGTTGTTCGCCAGCTGGAATGTTTTTCAGCTATGATCTCTCAATCGTTTATTTCATTGTTGGCTTCCCTCATGCGCCTTTTGCAAACATTCATAAATGTCAGGCGTGGCCATCCAAAAGGTCTTGTCCTTTCTGCCACCTCTCCATACAGCAGTTTCTTCCAAATACGGCCTTCCTCCATTCTCCTTGCATGGCCTAACCAGCGAAGCCGCCTCTGGCTAAGAGCGGAGAATATGCTACACATTATTGCATGTTCCAAGATCTCAGTGATTAAGATACTATAAACGGGAGATATAATATACTATAAATAAAAGGTATGGGATATTGCCAATGTGTTAGGATTGTATGAGTCTGTTTTGTGGGACGGCCCATTTGCTATAAATGAGAATGGAGAGTTACTGCGCCTGAATGTTAATCGGACTATAAGCATAAGGATACTATAAAGAGAAGGGATACTCAATGGGGCAGTAGTGGGCTGGTGGTCAGTAGTGCAAAGGGTGGAGGGAAGCCAATTTCAGTCAGACGCTGAATGTATCAGTGCCACTGATAGTTTGTGCTAGCAGTGTTGCCGGAGAACCCGTTAGTATATTTGGTTCTTTGGCTAACTTTGTTAGTGGAAACCACCTTTACTAATGAATGAATGTGTGTTATATGAAAAGTTTTAAGTGTTATTGAATAAAAAAAGTGATTTATAATTGTAAGGACTTTGTGTTAAATGGTATTATTGTGTTCCTGTCAAGAGTCATACCCTAGACAACCACACAAAGACACGCAATTTAATTTTTGACACATACTAAATACGAGAGGTATAAGATATTATAAATGAAGGTATCGGATAATATAAATGGGATGTATTAAGATACTATAAATGAGATGTGTAATAGAATATAAATTAGTGTTACAAAATAATTTAATGAGATGTAAAAGATTCTATAATTTAGGCATTTTTTATATAGCGCTTACTTAAAGCTCTAAGCGCTTTACAATTATTAAAAACATGTAAATTAAGTAAAATAAAAATGAGACACTAGGATAGTAACTACTATACTATAGCAACAATTAAAATGGCTATAAAACGAGGACACTTTGGCACGTTTTGGCCTATACCACAGGATCAACCCGCGACAGAAAATGAGGCAGGGCAAGGGGGGTGCATCACAGGTCATAGGCGGACCTAAACAAATGGGTTTTAAGGGACTTTTTAAAAGTGGACGAGGTTTCACAATGACGGATATGGAAGGGGAGCTGGTTCCAGAACGTGGGCCCATTTGCATTATATTATATACATTATCTTATAAACAATAGTGGTTTAAGTTAATGTAAATGAGAGAGACAATATACTATAAGTGAAAAGCAGAAGATAATATTAATAAGAGGTAAAATGTATTATAAATGAGACTATTAAGATACTATAAATGAGATTGTATGAGATACTATAAGAGGTAAAAGATAATATAAAATAAAGGTATTAAAGATATTGTTAATGATTAGTATAATTTAATATAAATGACACGATTAATATTATATAAATGAGCGCTTTAAGATAATATAAATGAGATTGTATAAGATACTGTAAATGCGAAGCATAAAATAATATGATTGAGAGGTATAAGATAAGATAATATAAAAAGAGAGGTACAAGATTTTATAAATGGTAGGCATAAAAGACTATGAGTGGTATAAGATAAGATAATATATAAAGAGAGGTACAAGATTTTATAAATGGTAGGCATAAAAGACTATGAGTGGTATAAGATAAGATAATATAAAAAGAGAGGTACAAGATTTTATAAATGGTAGGCATTCAAGACTATGAGAGGTATAAGATAAGATAATATAAAAAGAGAGGTACAAGATTTTATAAATGGTAGGCATAAAAGACTATGAGTGGAATAAGATAAAATAATATATAAAGAGAGGTACAAGATTGTATAAATGGTAGGCATAAAAGACTATGAGTGGTATAAGATAAGATAATATAAAAAGAGAGGTACAAGATTTTATTAAATGGTAGGCATAAAAGACTATGAGAGGTATAAGATAAGATAATATAAAAAGAGAGGTACAAGATTGTATAAATGGTAGGCATACAAGACTATGAGTGGTATAAGATAAGATAATCTAAAAAGAGAGGTACAAGATTGTATAAATGTTAGGCATACAAGACTGTGAGTGGTATAAGATAAGATAATATAAAAAGAGAGGTACACGATTGTATAAATGGTAGGCATACAAGACTATGAGAGGTATAAGATAAGATAATATAAAAAGAGAGGTACAAGATTGTATAAATGGTAGGCATAAAAGACTATGAGAGGTATAAGATAAGATAATATAAAAAGAGAGGTACACGATTGTATAAATGGTAGGCATAAAAGACTATGAGTGGTATAAGCTACTATAAATAAAACTTATTTTATAATATAAATAAGAGATAGTGATTCGAACAAAGGTGGTGCTTATGTTTATAGTGAAGTGTTTACTTAGCCACAGCTGCTTCTGGCCTCGTAGAATTTAAAAGTCTCTTGATCTTATCAAGTGTGTGTCATCAAGATTTTTTTTTTTAATTTTCAATTTGGAGCTTTTAATTTTTTGGGTTCCAGCTAACTGTATTCGGAGCCTTGCATCTGTTCCGTCCAAAGACTCTGTCCTTCTAACAACACTATTATCCTACTTACTTCTATCTTTAAAAAAACAAAAATCTAAGGGAAATTATTCAGCTAAGATGTGAAAGATTGCAAGATGCGCGTGTACGAATTATCCTGGGTAAATTAGAATTACTTTTACTTAAATATATTTTCGATACATTTTTTTGCTTAAAATAACATTGCGTCTTAAACACCCCACCCGATTAATTCAGTATCCGTGTTTTGACCCACTATTTGATTACATTTTTTAAATCATTAAAGGTTCGATCCCAATCATACCCCTACCCCCCCCCGACCACGTTAAAAATTCTTGCTTCTTCATAACATGTTTTCTTTTCTGTTACTGGATCAACAAGTCATGATGTAAACGATGGTTAGCTTGAAAATCGCATATGCTTAAAAGCATAAATAATTAATCTTTTTTTTTTTTTTATGGCAATGACGTTCTTACAAATATGAAATAATTACTTAATGTCTATGGAGTTTTTAAATCCTACAGTTAAATCATCCAAAGGTTATTTGAGGAAAGTTTAACTTAATTTTTTCTACTCTGAACCAATTAACGATAAAAATTCCTTGCCTTCATTTCCTTTTTGTTGTTTGTTAATAAATACTTGCATTGAGAGCAATACCTTAGTTCTCAAGTGTACGCTGTTGCATACATTTTAAAAAAAATAAACAATGAATTAATCCCCACCTTCTCCACTTTCAGCCTTTTAAAATTAACATTTTTTTTTTTTAGTATGGTTACTGTAAAAACTTTGTCAAATTTGTGCAAACGCTCCTCTACTTCTATACAGACCTATTGATACGAGTCCTCCGACTTGCAATATTAGCCACACAAACTCAAAATAAATAACAAAATACATTTTGTTTGCTTTTGAATTCAACACAGAATTATTAGGCTCTAATCAAATGACATAATACAAATCTATACACTTAAGCTATATGCTATCATTAGTATAAAAAAAAAACTAACATCAATATAATCTACATTTTTGGCTGCTTATACCCCGTATATATTATTACTGAAGAAAATGCACAGGAAGGGATAAAATAGAAAGGACATCTCAGTTCTCTTCAACTTTAAAAATACAAAAAAAAAAAAGGAAGTTCGCGGTAACAAATTCTATATGTGGATGTGGTTTATGCCGCATGGAGTAAATAGAAAATTTGTAAAAACAAAAAACAACCACAAAAAAAAAAAAAAAAAAGAAGTTCGAGGAAAAAAATTCTATATGAGGAGGTGGTTTAAGCCACAAGGAGAAAAAAGAAAATTTGTAAAAAAAAAAAAAAACCACAAAAAAAAAAAAAAAGTACCCACATTTTAGTTCCCATTTAATATAATAGATTGTCTGAGATGCCGTATAAAAGACCAAAAAAAAAAATAAAAAAAAAAAAACGACAACAAATGTTACTAAGATCGTATGAGATGCCAAAACGATAGTAAAAAAGAACAAAAAAAAAAAAAAAAAAAAAAAAACGACAACAAATGTTACTAAGATCGTATGAGATGCCAAAACGATAGATTTAAAAAAAAAATTCCCTCGATTTTAAGATCGCACCAGTTTGCTCGAATCGGGAAAATTGAGTTGAACGTAAGCCTGCAGCTCAGAAACCCAGAGTTGAACCACTCGGAAATTATTTCTTCTATCAAAGCGATAATGTGATGCCGAGTTTGTACAAAACAAAACAAAAAACTTAAGCAAAAAACAAGTCTTAAGCAAAGTCGTTGACATAAATTCAAACTACGTATCATCTGTGAGTATAAGGTCGATTGGCGGATCCAGTGTTCTAAAATAAAACTGTTTAGGCACAAACATACTAACCGAACTTCTCTCTGTCTATTCCAACCTTCGACAGCTTCGCTCCTCCGCAGACCGCGCGTATTCTTTCTGTCCCAAAGACTTGCACAAAAACATACGGTGAACGAGCGCTCTCTTTCTGTGCGCCCAAACAATGGAATTCTCTTCCATTACACATCCGCAATATTACACCGACCATCGCAGCCTTCAAATCTGCATTCAAGACACATTTTTTAAAACTCTACTATCCTGACGGATTCCCACCTCTGACCGAAAAACGATGCTGCTGGGTGTCGTCCATGGCGTGACATGTAAATAGTTTTAAATATACATTTTTTTTTAAATTTAATTAATGTATGTTCATAATTTTTAAAAATTTTTTGTATTATGTTTGTTAAATTGTATGAAGTAGCTATTCGTACAAGGGTACCAGAAGTGAGAGGTTGGGATTTAAAAAAAACTACTTAAAATTGTATTGTTGGGTTTGTAAGACAAAATTGGGTATCAAATGAAAGATAGTTGAATGGACTATATGTTTGTACACTTAATTCTCCAGTTTATCTACAATAAACTGCCACAAATAACATCTAGGTTTAGAAATGTTTTAGAGTTGTTGACAAGTGGGGGGTTGGGGGTTAGATTAGTTGACGTCAACAATCATGTTTTCTCTATAAAAAATTTTATCTTAAAAATTGACTGGTTATTACATTATTTTAACAAATTTAAAAGAGTTTGAATTGAAAAAATTATATAATTTTTGGTTACATAAAATTTAAATTATTTATTAACAATCTAAAGATACAATAAAATGATTTTCCTACTATATTTTAATTCATTTATATTATAATTTCGTTTTATTTTTGGAAAGGGGTTGGTGGTTATAGAAATGTTGACATAATTACTGAGGGGGGGGGGGGGATGGAAAATTTGAAAGGGGTTTGAAAGGGGGGGGGGGGGGCAAAAAATGGTTAAAAATTTTTGGCCTAAATAAAGGGGACCCCCCAAATGACTTTTAGGGGCTTTTTTTTTTGTTTTTTTTTGGAAAGGGGTTGGTGGTTATAGAAATGTTGACATAATTACTGAGGGGGGGGGGGGGCATGGAAAGTTTGACAGGTGTTGACAAGGGGGGGGGGGGGTCAAAAATTGCTTAAAAATTGTTGACGTAATTAATGGACGCCCCCTAATGACTTTTAAGGGCTTTTATTTTCTATTTTGCAAATTGTTTCTGTTTCTTCTATTTTAAA